CACTTCTTAAATCTAACAGTGTGGCAAAGCACTCTTGCCTTCCTAACATTTTAACCAACAATCCCTGGCTTCTGCATTTGACATTGGTTATCTGCTTTTCTGGGATCTGACTCCTCTGTGAAGTCTGTAACTGTGTCCTGTTTCTTTCTCTTTTGATTCCTCCTTCTTAATCTCCTTTCCTGATAATAATGCTCCCTTCACAATTACACTTTCTCTTCTGTCAATATTCACAAGGTACTTGATTCTAGCAGGGCAACTCTGTCAGATTCCTGTGTGTCAATGGTTTTGCCTGTATACCAAATCTCTCAAATCATTTTCATCAAATAAACAACAGTTTTCATTTTTTTGTATGATATGTAATTTCACTTTAACTACTTGAATCATGTTATAATCAACAAGTCCTGATGCTAAAGGAAAAGGATGGAAATATGCAGGGAAGAAAGTTTGGGGTTAACTATCAGTGAGTGGAAGCTCGATAATAACTATTCGCTTTTTATGAGATTTTTTGCTTCCCTAAAAAACCTCCCAATTTCAATAGTTCAGATCATGAACTCTCAGATAATAATGATTTCATTTTGTGATAAGCACCCAAATCTTTAACCCAGGTTACTCTCTTGAGCTGCAAACATGTACTTTCCCTGAGATACAGACATTCCCTCTTGCCCATAAGGCAAATTCACACACATCATTCTAATTTCAGCTCAGATATCACCTCTGCAGTTATGCCTTGCAGCAACTCCCCTGATGGCAGGCAAATTTATTAAAAAAAAAAAAAAAAGAAAAGAAAATTCACCAAAAGGCATGCCTTTATATTTAAGACAAAATCAAAAGCTGTCCTAACAAAAGGGTTATTTAAAATGCAAGTGGGAGTAGGAAGAAAGAGTAGAGAAAAAAAGAAAAGAATATAATTCAACAGAAAGAAATGGAGTTTGCTGCGGCTGGGGATATAGCTCAGTTGGTAAAGTGCTTGTCTGGCATGCATAAGGCCCTGGGTTCAATCCCCAGCACTACCAAAAAAAAAAAAAAAAAAAAAGAAGGAAAAGAAATGGAGTTTGCGGTTTTCTTTTAAAAAAAAAAAAAAAGAACAATTTGAATAGGAATTGGCCAGGTGACAAGGTTCTGACATAATGTCCCTCCTTCACCCCCAGGTGGGACAAGAAGGGGCATTTCAGATAAAAGGATACAACCTGGTTCCTGACTTGAGTGCTTGGCTGAGGTGCCTGGTTAGTGATGAGATTAAAATGGTAGACAGATGCCAGAATTTTAGGAGCAACAAATTATGGGTTTATTATAATTTTTCTCTTGATAATTATCTGCTTATAATATTAGGCTTGCACTTTCCACTTTATATCTAGATTTAAATAACATATTTTCCTAAATGATTTTTCAGAAACAAGACATTACCTATGAAAATAAAAGCTACATTTAACTGCATTTGGTCTTACTGTAAAAAAACAATTCAACAGTATCATAATATAGAAGTGTTAACAGCATCTTCCTTAAAAGAGGGAATCCTAAAAAGGAAAAATGTGCATGATTTATTTCTTTTGAGAAATCAAAGCACTTTTACATTTATCCTTTCATAACACATAGGACTAAGAGGAGGAAAGGCTAAGAATGACTGTTTTAAAGATTAGGGAAAGTGAAAGACAGGAAAATTAGTGATTTCCTTCATTCTAAGTTGCATGTTTTTCATACTATGACTTTTTAAAAAAATCAAGATGGAACTCAAACTATTGATTTAATGTCATCTTTTGGTGGGGAGGGTCACATTACAACTATGGGTATAATTTGCATTAGGAAATGGTAAAGGATTTGGATCAAAGTCAGTAAGCAAGAAAGTGGTAGACTCGACTAAAAAAATTCTATAGAGTTATTAATGTATACTAACAGGAATATAGTGGATTCTATAGAGTTATTAATGTATACTAACAGGAATATAGTGGACTTTTTGGCTTCTTCTTTATTAATTTAATTAAATATATTAGGCCTACTTAATACTAGCTCTTCCCTGAAACAAAAGTCATACAAAACACTTTTTTACCCTCAAGAAGTACATATTCGAGGGCTGAAGCTATACCTCAGTGGCAGAGTGCTTGCCTAGCATGTGTGAAGCACTGGGTTTGATCCTTAGCACCATACAGCAATAAATAAAATAAAGGCATGCTATTCAAACACAACTACCAAAAAAAAAAAAAAAAAGAAAAGAAAGAAAGAAAATTAAAAAAAAACACATAATCAAATAGAGATGCCTAGACAATTACCCATAAAACAAAACAGACTGGGATTAACATCAGAAGAATGATACAAAACAAGAAATAAAAATGCAGAAAAGCGGCAGTCACTTCCAGTCAGGACATCAGGAAAATCTTGGCATATAGTAAGAGCTCAACAAATGTTGACTCTGCAGGCCTTACAGAAGACCTGGATAAGACTGAGAAGGACTGACAGATTTTCTCAAGAAAAATCTGTGACAAGAAGGTACTCCAAGAAGAGGGAGCAGCAGGGCCTGGGGAAAATCCCAGAAACCAGTCACTGGCTCTACTGGCAAGGTGGAAAATACAGAGAAAGAAAGCTAGAAAAGTAAATAGGAACTAAAATATGGAATTTATTGAAGCTCAAACTGAAAAACCATGAGGGAACAAAGAAGTTGCCTCCTGACACCTGACACATTTCAGAAAGATTAAACTGACAAGTGAACTGTACTAGTGGAATGACAGTGGGGAGAAAATGCTACTTTACAGAGTCAAGTGTCCAATATTCAGTGCCTAACAGCAGCAATGCCGAGAAAGGTATGCCTTCCCTTTGAACTGCTTAGGGAATTTTTGGACAAGTACATATTTCATGAGGGTGGAGCACCAACTTGTTAATATTATAGCCACACTTCTCCCTGCACAATCCTTTATTTATCCATAGTAGGTCCTCAATAAAAAAAAAGCTGAAATACTGTGGCTGTGGTTGAGTGGTAGGGCACTTGCCTCATATGGAGGAGGTCCTTTTGAGTTTGGATCTCCAGTACCACTACCACAAAAAATAAAATAAAATAAAATAAAAGTTGAAAGGTAATCTGCAAAGTCTAAACTTGCATGTTTGCTACTGCTAAGGTAATCTGTTACTCATCCATTTCTCAAACCTACTCATTTTATAGTTAATCTGACACCTTCCCAATCTCATTTTTTAAAATAATCTAAATGGTTTTAGAATCCTCCTTTCTTTCCAAATATACCACAACATTTTGTTACCAAACATTTTGAAAACACTGCTTTTACCCAGGATTTTACATAGAAAGCCATCCAGTTTCCATTCACATGCAACCCTCCCACCAAAAAATGCTGAAAAAAAGCACATTTATAGAAGCAAGTTTTCCTCTTAGGCAGCAAACAACATGCTTCCATAGTTACTTATAGAACCTGATACATCATTAGCGCAACTACAAGTTGCTGCTTACATTTCCAAAGTTGTGCAAAGGGTCCAAAGTTGTGCAAGAGTAACCACTGAAATCAGACTCTGGTATATTAATAGTTATAACACCTGAACAGTCTTATGTTTATTATTAGATTCAAAGTAATCGCAGGTATTAAAAATATTTTATAAGTTTGCTGATATATTTGTGAAACATACTAGGATGTTATTTTAATTGAAAATAATTGACTTTTCTTCTGCTTCTAATGGACATGAGATCATCCGAAAATTAGTAGTTATGACCCAGGACTTGACACGACTGAAATAGCGTCCCCAACATACACACACATAAGCACACACCCAGAGCAGTGATTGGCCTTGCATTACTATCAAGTCAAATAAAACCCAGTTTACACGTGGCAAAAGTAGCCAGAACTCTTTGGTGCTTTAATGACCCCGAAAGGGATTACCCACTCGTCTATTCATGTGATGTAACTTATTGACTTGGGAGTTGAGGGTATTAAAAATAATGTGTTTTTTTTTTTAAAGGGTTTCTTCTCCATTCAGCTGGCTGTTCTACACCAAGGGAGCGCCTTGTTCAGGCCTGGGCGGGTGCGTGCAGGTCGGAGAAGGTGGGACTAATCAGAAAAATCAAAACCAGGGTCACATCACCTTCTGCTCTCTTTTGCCTCCCTATTGCTCTGGGGCCGCGAACAGAACCAAGAAAGGAGGCCCTAGAGACGGAGTGCAGTGATTTGAGACGGGCCCTGGCGGCTCGGTGCCGGGCGGCACTGCTGTCACACAGTCTCCCGACCCGGCATCGCAAACGGCCGCCGCGGCTGTCGGCTG